TCATATTGGGTAAAAGAGGTCCCCCCCCCCCCCCCCCCCAAAAAAAAAAAAAAGCAGCCTGGACTAGGCAAAGCTTATTTTACACAATGATTCAATTTTCACCCAAGTTACTGTTGTTTCTCTCTAATTAGACCAAAGTTTTATAAAAATTCAGTTAAAGAGCATTTGTCAATGAGATTATGTGCACATAAGCTAGCGTGGATTGCCTGCTTTTCACCGACCCAAATAAGAGATTAGTTGAGGTGCGTGTAAGTTTGCCTTTTATCGAACCGAATTAGAGGTTAATTGACATGCGTGTAAGTTAATCCAGCCACCCCTGACTGTTAAACTCAAAAAAAAGAAGAAAAGATTATGTGCACATACACCTTAAAAAAGTCTCACAAGCTTCATTCTCCTCAAATATTAAAATGGCAAGCCTTTTGTGAGTGTGGTTGAAGCAAATTCCCCACAATTTCTGTTTGACTATGAGGATCTATCTTGGTATACCCTTTGTTATTTATGGGGGAGAGGGATGGACACGAATCAAATATCACAAATGACAACCCACCGTGGAAGAATGATAGTGTGGTCCCTATTAACTAGAAACTAATTACTAGGTGTGGCATTCAGGCATGTTGTGCAAGTTTAATTTATAATATAAAATTCTCGATTTTGAGTTTACTTTTAATTCACATTTTGACTCATTGGATGTGGATATTATTTTTGTACTTTGCGTTTTGATTCAAGTCTAAAACTTGAACTACATATTTTGTGCTCAGATTCAAGTTTAACGTATAATTTTTGATTTGAAATTTAAAATTCAATTCAAGATCGATCTTAGATTTATAAAGTAAAAAAAAACAAAATGATTCAATCAGTTGGACCCGAATTAGTGAGTTTGGGTTAAATGCCGAAAACTCAAGTACTCCCTAAATATAAATTAGGTTAAGATTTGTTTTTAATCCAAACTATATCCAAGTAATAAGAATCTCTCTTACCATGCAACTCCTAATAATTCATAGCCTGCATCATATGGTAGAGCACATCACAAAATTGGACCTGCAAAAAGTGGGTAATTAAAGAGTCAAAAGCTTACTAGATTTCTTATGATATCCGCTTTAGCTCGCTTGAGCTGGTCTGAAATTGGAGAGAGAGAGAGGGGGGGGGGGGGGGGGGGGGGGAGAGGG